CTTAGTTAGTTGCCCGCTTGCAGCCACGCCTAGCATAAGTGACTTCTGCACAATAAACTATCCTCCTCAAACATACATGGGCCCACAAGAAATGTTGGTTCTATAAAACATTAATTAATCCCGTCGATTACTGTTTAGACGCAACTACTAATACCAAGCGCCTTGATGCATGCTATGCACTGCTGTATGTGAAGAATTTCCCTTATGGCATGTAAGAAATGTTTGCACGTGCACTTCTCAATCAATTGCCATGTAATAATAATGATTATTATTTAAAGCTTTGATTTTTGGGAAACCGTTTAGTGATTAAATACTATTATTTGCACCTTTTTAATGATTAATAATATATTACTTTAAAAAAAATATTAATTAATTTTATTTACATAAGTAGTTTGTTATTTTTGATTTTTTTTTTTTAATTTTTTAATTACATTATTAATATAATTATTCAATAATTTGTATTTTTTTTATTGCATAACCAATATAGTTATTTGATTATTTTTGCTTATTTTCAATTATTTTTGATTGCTTTAATTAGATGATTAATATAATTATTTTATTATTTTCAATTATTTTTAGGTTTTAAGGAGGAGGTTATCAGTTCGTCAGAATATTTTTATTTTTTATGTATGTTACCACATAACTTTGGACCACGTCAACCGATTTCAATAATTCTTTTTGCGTTGGAAAGGTAGTGTCTCATAGGTGGTCCCATACTAATCTGGTTTAGATCCGGTCATTGGATCATATGAGAATTGAAGTCGATTTTGGTTTTTGCTTACAAATTACTTGTTGTTTTCAATTTTATAATATATTTCAACTTGTGAATAATACATTGCAACGCAGTTAGTATACATACATATGATGGGAATAAATACAGTAACGTAAGATAAATGCACAAGGAAAATAACATAAATGCAAAAAAAAAACAAAAAACCAGCACTGGCTGCTTTGTTATTTTATTTGATAAATTTTTATAAAAGTAATGCCCATACTACAGCAAAACCGCATACTATACATACTACTACTACTACTACTTAATAGGAGTTTTTAGAAAAATTTTAAGGTTGCAGTTTTTTAGCCCATTGCATTTTTGTAAGGCAAAGCGCAAATATCAAAAACCTGAGAATTACATACTTTTGATTTCTAGAAAATTCTTTCTAAAAGCATTAATGAATAGCAAAGACAGTTGACAACGCCTATAAGAAGTCATTTCTTACTTGTACAGTACAAGTATTTACTCGTACAGTGAGTTTAGTTCGAGTTATTTAATACTAACTTATAAAAATTTGCCTGCCAAACACAGTTCCATCTATTTGGAAAAATAACTAAAAATAATCATATAATTACAAATAATCAAATAATTGCGGATAATCAAATAATTAAAAACAATCAAATAATTAAAAATAATCACATAAAATATTGAAACAATTAAAAATAGTCAAATAATTAAAACAATAATTTTATTAATTTTGATTACTTGATTATTTCTTATTATTTTTTAATTACAATTAATCATGATTATTTTCAATCATAGTTAATTACACAGGTCCATAAAAAAAATCGATGAAAGGGTCTTTTGGCCAAACCTAGTCTATTATATGTTTTTGAGGTCGCTGAACCACGAATCTGAAGTCCGTTTTGCTCAATCACATCTAGATTTTTTTCTAACCTCAAAACAGAGACAATCCGAGGTTAGACTTCAGATTCGTGTTCAGCGACCCAAAAAAAAATAGAACCTTTCATCGATTTTTTTTGTTGACCCGTGTTATTAATTGCTGAATTATGTAAGAAAACTAAAATAATCATTAAAACTAAAATGCAAAAAAAATAATGATTACTAATCGTAATGGAATTTTAGCAGCTCTGTTTTAAAGTATGCTCGGCCTAGGATATTGCTTCTGGAGTTTTTTGCTTACAACCGTACAGAGGTAGTAACTAATGATTACCATTGGCCACAATGCCTACCCATTGCTTTTTTAACCAATAAATATTTTTATACCCGAGCGCACTTATACACAATGGTATTATAACTTTATTCACATAACGGTTTTTTGTAACAGATCAATTTTTTCCTAAACTTGGCACAGTTGTTGGTTGGCCTTGGAAAAACATGCCAAGCCGCTGAAAACTTTGATCTGACAATAACCACGCCTACATCCCATATAACGGAAACTAATTTATTCAAAATTGATGTTTGCAATAATTCTTAGGCAGAAGATACCCTAATAACTTTTTTTAAAAAGGGCGTGACACCGTGTATGTGCATATGTGGCCGTTATATCAATTTATACAAAACTCGGCATAATTATTATAATTTACATATAAGCGCAAAACGTTGAAAATGTTTGAAATCGCACTAAAATTACGCCCACTGCTCATATAACGGTAAATTTCATAAATACGGAGACCTCCATATTTCGAAATTTAAGGACAATAATTTACTCAAGGCTTAATACTCACAATAATCTGTTAAAAAAAAATATTATTACAGAATTTTGATAAATGGGCGTGGCACCGCTAATTTATTGGTATTTTCAATGGAAATCTCCTGAAGATAAACAAAGTCTTCCGATCGAAAAATATTAATTTTCAAGAAATCTATATCATTCATATAAAATACATGGAAAACTTTGAGCGCTTTGAGCGACCTCTTAATATTTTTTGATTTCGAAATAAATAATAAGGGGTATAATTTTTTCGGTATTGAACAATTCTAGAGGGTGAGAGCATTAAAATTGCAACTTTACTTTTTTGGACCACTCTAATGTATTATATAATGTATGTATAATGACTCAGTCAGTTATTCAGTTACCATACTTACTCCAAGACTGTTCAGCTACAGAACTAAATTCATCTGCTGATTGTAATGTTATTGATATTCTTGGCTAATCAATTAGTGAGGACAGTATTTAGTATAGCTTTCTTGTAGATGGCTTTACGATTAAACGAAAAGCTGTTTTTTATTAGTGGTTTAGTGGTTGCCTCTCATCTACCGCCATCAAATCTAGACCAAAATAAAAAGCCAGTACGTGGCCATTCGAAACTTATTTACATACCAGCTACAAACCCCTGCTAGATGTAGAATATTTATTCGAGTTTCATTAAAATATAATTCATTTCAGGTGGCGCCGAGTCAACGGGCTACATAACCGATGAACCGGGCTTGGAAAATATATCATTGCTTAACGAAGCCGGTCTCACAGACGCCGAAGGCGCCCTATCCGATGTCAATTCACTTTACAATGCACCCGATGTGGACGATACATCGGTATCGAGTCGTGCCAGTTCACGACTACTCAGTTTGGATTCGCTGAGTGGTCTGTACGATTGCGATTTGGATTCAAAACATGAAATGGCGATTGTAAATGTTTCGCACAAAATCACTAATAAATTTGGACCACAGCAACAAAGTTAATTACAACACGTAAAGCTGCTAGTGTAAAAAGAATCCTAAGGTGAAAGAAGCAACTACAAATACTTACATATGTGCATATGTATTTAGTACTCGTAGTCAAGCACATGATATAGAGATAAGAATGGTGTAAATTATTTTTCGGTGAATATACTGTAGCCCTTTCCCGTGATCCAACTAATTATGTACGTATCAAGCTACGTTAATAAGTAGTGGAAAATTTTAGAGATTTACACGAGAAATTTAGAAGAATAAATACCTTTAAAAAGTTACTGAAATCGAGTGTAGTAACGAAAAATAAAATGGCGGGAAAATTGGTGCCTCCGAGACAGTTAATAGATAAGCGAAAAAAATGCAAGTAAAGTGCGAGAAGAAGTCATAGTACTAGTATGTGTAGAAATGATAGCACAACAAATAAATACATAATGTTGAATTTAGAAACTAGCAGTAGGTGCTAAAGAAGAATACTTATCAACATAGAACTTATGTAGTATGCAGAGTTGCCAGAACTCAACGTTTACCAACAAATCTGTAATAAGTTTATATTAAGTAAAATCTGCATGTATATTTATTTAGATATAAGAATTCATGTGTATAAAAAACATTGTACATACATATAGAAGCATTTGTCAGAGAATGCTTTAAATGACTTTAAACAAGAAAGAAAATTAGTACTAAATAAACGTAGGCACTTGCGTGACTGTTTACAAAGGAGTATTGTAACCAAGTAACTAGATAGGTTCGAGTATATGTAACTTTGATTGAGTCAGTGGTAATATAAATGTGTACACGCTCTCAAGTCCATTTAGGATATACAACAAAAATTGAGGAAAACTAATTGACAAACAAGTATACATGCACATGTATACGTAATTAGAATTATTATCATAAAAATTATACAGTTATGATAATACATATATGTATGTACTTATGTATATATACATACATAGATGTCTATGTTAAAAATATGGTAATTATAGAATTATAATTGGCGTAGTTAACCCCTTGAGTGCACTAAAGTTACTCATAGAAAAATGTAATGCTGATATACATACAAAGATACTTAAACTATGATTATGTATACATACTTAAATTAGCTGTACTAAAACTTACTTGCATTGAGTACATATATGTATAAATACATACATACAGACTTATGCGACACTGCAGCGGCACTACGCGAGATTTTTGACGCTGTTTTTTAACTTTTTTCAAGGATTGGTTTAAGGAAAACTTGAATAACGTAGCCAAAACTACACCTATTTATACTTATGAGGTATCATTGGAAAGGTATTTTCTCACCACTTACATTTTTTTGCAAATAAACACATTCAAAGTGTTAAAGAGTAAGATAAGATGAGCGTCGTTCCAAATTGAACTAAGATCTGTTGATATTTGCAAAAAAAAAAGGAGTGAGAAAATACCTTTCCAATGATAGGTACCTCATAAGCAGGCCTGGACGGTGTTCAAAAACACCATCAAAAATCTCATTATTATGATTCCGTTAAAACAAAAAAAAATGTTTAAGCTTAAACTGTTTTGTCATCTGAGGTAATTTTTTTTTTTTCAAAAATACTTTTAGAAACAATTTTTATTCATAAAAAACTCCATTTCTGAAGGTATTTTCAAATCGGTCCAGCTCATGTTAATCGTAATATTTTTCACAAATATTTTCGCGCACGGCTTCAAATTCAATAAATTTTACAATTTCAATGGAAAAACAGTACGGATTTATTTTGTATGGGGAGTGATGCAGTCTAATTTATATATATTAATTTCATAAAAGGTGTCTTTGAATTCGTGATAACTTGTACTGTAGCAGTTTATCTTTTTTTGATGCTTTTGAAGAGGACTAGGTTTTTAAGCATTACATACTTTCCTTAATTTCCTGCCTTCTAGAAATTTCCCCTCTAAAGACGTTCACACACATATATACATATGGTCGATTCCACAGGAAAGTAAACCAGCCCGATTTTTTCTTTCATTCAAATATTGTACATATTGATGATTATTGGTATTCACTATATGTCAGCTGCTTCTGACACTAATTCTTATCATGTCCAAGCATTTTGTATTTAATATTTTGGTCCTTTCCTCGAAGGATTTTTCACGAACCTAAAATAATTTTCTATACAAAATTTCAATTTTCGATTCGTACGAAAACAAGAATATGCCTCATTAAGACGTAATGAAATGTACCGCAAATGTTAAGTGTAACGTAGCCATTGAAAAACTAAAAAAGTTGTTTTTTGAATAATTAAGTACCCTTTCCAAACATGTTTTCTTAGTATTGTCGATATCATACTGATTCCATTTAGATAAAAGAAATCATGGCTGACATCGCTGCACAATTACCTAATAAATAAGTGTAGCTAGGCTAGTGCTCTTCTTTGTATTTAAAATTTTTGTATTGACTTGATAACTATTCTCATTCTATTCTCTCTGAAGAGTTTATACATCTATTTATTTTGTTAAAAATTGTTTATGTTAGAACTTTTTTATAAAACTGCGATAAATGCATTAACTTTTTTTATCTAAGATTAACAAAGTTGTGGAAACCACCATATCCGATTTGAAATTTTCCTGGATGGCATTGGAAAAAACAATGATTCAGAAAGGATTAAAAAGAAAACTCACAACATGGTACTTTAGATGAGCTTTTGCATATTTTAAGTTATTAAACGTAAGTGGTTTTTGTAGTAAAGTTAAATAAATATTATTTGCGACGATAATACGAAGATTTTCCGGTCAAAAATTTTAGTTTAGGATGATTTTTGACCTAGTTAGAATTTTTGAGGACAATGGAGTTTTATTTTTTAATCCTGCAACAAAGATCCCAATTTTAGCTCAAACAGTTGTTTATGATGACAGATTAAGATTGCGAAGAAGAAATGGATGAACAAAGCCTTTTAGTAATTTATTTATTTATTTATTTAGTAATTTATTTATTACTTTTTTATACTTCTGAGAATCTTAAAAGGCATTACACATAGGGACGAATCGAGGATATGTATTTGACAGATTGCAATGAAATTTAGTATTTAGGGGTTTTCTTCATCACTGATATTTAATATTATATTACATTTTCAAAATCCAATATGACGGACGACTTTTTACACGGTCTTAGTCGTCAATGATTTCGAAATTGATATCAAATTTTCAAAATTCAAAATCCAGTTTAGCGGACGACTTCTTTAAAACTTTATAGATTAGAAGCATTCGCGTATTGATAGTTTTTAATAGCTATCAAAACCTGTCAGGCTTTGCTGTTCTCGCACACAAAAAGCAGCAAAGTAGTGTAAATTTAGAGGTAAAACTGGCATTTCATTTTGATGAGAAGCTGCTAGTTTCTGCTGGAAGATTTTTTGCCAGCAGTAAAAACAGCTGATCAAAGTCAGCTGATTGCAAAATATGAAAATAAAGAAACTTATTTTGATGATTTTTAATTTAAATACTTATGTTTGCTAAGCAAATTGCTTTAGGCAAATTTTTAATGTATGTATGTATATGCTTCCAGTTTTATGCTTTGTAAGTAAACAAAATTTCTGCTGAAAAAATACGCGAATACGCCTATTGCTATAAAACTTGGTATCCAGGGGTTTCCGTCGTCACTGATTTCGAAATCGATATAAAATTTTCAAAATTCAAAATGGCGATTCAATATGGCGGACGACTTTTTAAAAAAAATTTAGTTTGTAACGAAACTTGGTATCCAGGAATTTTCGAGGTGACTGATAACAAATATGATAAATAGCTGCATTATTTTGCAACCGAGCTACAAAAGAACACTCGCTTAAATGACGAAATACACGCAAAGCAACAGCACAAACTCGGCTGAAGGGTAGTGTTGTTAAGTGAAAAAACTGCTATATTGTGAATTGTTAATGGGAAAGTGTAGAGGGAAATTTTTGTTTCCTTATATACGTGACATATATTTTAAATAAGTATATACATATATAACGCAAATACCTCGCATAATTACTCATTTAAATTGGTTTTTGTATCTAAATCCCGTTGAGCTAATCACATGTTTCTTGCCAGCTAACAACAGGGTAGCTTAAGTAGCCAGACGGAAATTTTACCCGAGTTGAGCGTTCTTTTGTCGCTCCCTTACAAAAGAATGCAGCTATTAAATTTTTTTAATTCAAAATGGCTGATTCAGTATGATGGACGACTTTTTTTCGTCGTCACTGATTTCGAAATCGGCATTAAATTTTCAAATTTCAAAATTCGGTGTACTTTGCGAAACTCTTTTTTCTTGTAACTAAAGCTAATATGCAAGTTTCAACACCTTTTAAGTAAAAAATGGTATTTTGTTAAACATTAAAGTACTTACCTGAGACCGTCTTATCCGTCTTGACCCAACTGTTATTTATTAATAAGAATAAAATGGCGTGTGAAACTATTTTATCACCACTTAAAATTAAAATTATAATTTATTTCGACGCACGAAAGCAAAACCAACTTTGCGCTTGTGCGAAGGGTAGTGCATTGCGTTAAAAGTCGAAACACCTATCCCTGCAAAAATTTGAGGACCAGGTGGTCCACTGGGTCGTAGTTTTAAAGTATGTGCAAAAGGACCAGGTTGCATACTAGTAACTTGTTATGCTTACCTGGACCACTTCAAACGCAAAAACTGATATATGTGTTGAGAACCACCTCTTCGTGCCCCATCGGCAACATGATTCGGCTGCCGAATGTGCCATGGTCCAAAAGGAGTAGTTATCTAGGTGGTCCCTTGTTATGCAGCGGTGGACCAGAAGTGGCCCCATGTTATGCAGCGTTGGACCAGAGGTGGTCAGGTCCAATGACATCGCAATGTTAAGGTAACCATATTTTCTCCATATATTTGGACCATTTTGGTTACTAGTGTTGGTTACAAGGTAGCATGGTCCCGTACTAGTATTTAACCTAGTCCCACTTTTTGCAGGGATGTTACATTCTGGACTGGCATGGTATTTGTGTACGTGTTGACTCGCCTTCGACTACACACAGTTGAATCATTCAGAGTCATGACGGGAGTCATGTCGGTGTAACTAACACATATTTATTTTCACAAATACATCCAACCGACTCACGAGTCAGACGCACTGTGTATGCCGCCTATTAAAGGTATATTTGATAAGGTTTAAAGAATTTTCTTTTTCTTTTTTTTGTCATCGTCATTAGTCAGTTTGTAACTCCATAACTCGAAAAAAATTTCTCCACCATA